ATTAAGAACTAACATAAGTAAAACCCAAATAAAAACTTACTAAACATTGGATTGCCTCCCACTCAGCGCTTGGTTATAGTCTTAAGCTCGACGAATGGAGGTGGTGGGCTATAAAAGTGGTGGAACACTTCTTGTTAGAAAACAAGAATCCACTTCTTCTCTTGTCATTGAGACCCATGCACCAACGGAACTGCTGATATTTATTTTCCTTTTGGCCATAAAGTTCTTCAACTTCTCCATTCTCAGTTGCACCTGTCCTCCCCTGACTCCTCGTATTGCTCATTATCGTAGAAGCATGTAGCTATGAGACCTGCATCATTACTCAATTCAATAGTTATCTTGATATCTATCAAGTGGAAGTTTACTAGGACTTAAGGCATTCTGAATATGGAGTGGAACATCTCTCACCATACCACATGAATTCACCTTGGAGCAATTGACAAAGGTTAAAGAATCATTGGAAGGCTCCACTTTCAGATTCAGCTTCTCTGCCATGGCTCTAGGCATGATGCTCACTGGTGATCCAATATCATTAAAGGCATTGGGATACTCGTGCCCCTTTAAGAAACATGGAATCACAAACTTCTCATCTATCTCCTTGGATTCTCTGAAAAAAACATGTAAAGTCTATGATTATAATAAGCTTCATCAAACGGAGCATCTAAAAGAGTTTTAAAAACTCTTTTAGCAAAGCCATCCATATCATTTTCATTCGCTTCTCTGCAAAGATGTCTTGCAATCCTTTGCTTCCTTCTGGAATATTTTCATGTTTCCTTGTCAACCATCATGGGTTCTGAATTGTCTGTGTCATGATCAGAAGTATCTATAGTCGGATTTCTAACCAGAAAGCTTGCATCTAGTCTCGCCAAGCGAATAGGTCCGGCTGCAGGGTTCCGTCGATCAATGCTTTGAGCCTTGTGTTGATCGTTGTTGGAAGATTCACAAGCCACTGACTCTACAGGTTTCTTTGCTTGATGCTCAGCTCTGGATGTCGATCGACAACAATGCGAACTGTCATAAAACATTGCACTGTATACACGGAAATCTCCTTCTTTGAGCCTTTCCTTCTCACCTCAACCCAAAAATCATCATAAAACAGTGCATTGACGTGGAGCTTGTGTCCAGATTCTTCCTTCCCTTTAATAATGGAATCATGCTTCCTAATGGCCTCACTTGTCTGGACTACCTGATTCTCCAATTTCTTCACATTGGTGTTGAGGTTCTCAAACTTGGGTTCAGATTGAGATACAAAGCATCTATTTATCCATTGAAGCCTACAATCATCTACTGTCGTCCCTCAAGTACTCTGTCAACCATTGCTTATAACTTGCTCTCCTGAATCTCTGGTAGTAAGATGATCCATATGTCATGTTGTTGTTGCTGTAGAGAATTTGTTACTGTGAATATTTGTTGTAGTTACTCTTCTGACTATTGCAATAGGAGTTTCTGTTGTAGCCTTGATTTCTAGATCTTTAGAAGCCGTTTCCACCAATGTAATTCACACCCTTTTCTTCACTTTTAGTATATATAGCTTATACTTCCTCCACAAAACTAACTTGCTTCTTGATAGTTTGTGAACACTATCCAGACTTGCCCTAATTTCATCAATCTGCTCCCTTCTGAGTGATGGGGCCGATTACTTCCTCTCATAATCAGTGTTCTTGGTACTATTGTTGGATGCCAAATTCTCAATAATCCTTGTACCCTCTTCTAGACTTCTGGTTCTGAAATTACCCTCACTAGCTGTGTCTAAGGCCATTTGGTACTGCAGATCAATACCTCTGAAGAAAGTTCTAAGCAGCTGCAGTTCATTAAATCCATGGAGTGGACATCTAGTAGAAGTTGAATCTGGTCCAGGAGCTCTTAAAAGACTTTGCAGGATTTTGTGTGAAAGTAGCAATTCTTGTCTTCAAATCCTCAGCTCACGCATTATCAAAGAAATTGCGCAAGAAGGCATTCTTGATGTCAATCAAGAATGTACGAGATCCTGATGGTAACTCCTTAAGCCAATAAGAAGCTTTTCTAACAAGTGATTACTTGAAGAACTTGCAAAACAGATAGTCCTTAGGGACTCCATTGGCTTTAATAGCAGATATTAGATCTTCAAACCTCTCAAGATGATACAGAGGATGCTCATTTGTGCCCCAAGGTAAGGTGTCTGTACTACAAGTGCAAAGAAAGAAGGTTTGATCTCAAAAGCATTCCTCTGAAAAGCTAGGAGGGCGAACGGCCGATCTGTTGGCGTAATACTGGTTAGAACGGTTGTAGTCTGGTAATGTCCTTGCTTGGGAAACTTGGGCATTAGCTTCAGGTTGAGCTATTGCAACGTCTGCACTTACTTCAGGTTTAGGGATTAGAGCCCTCTTATCCTCTATCTTCTGATATGCTGCATTACGCAGATGACCTTCAAGATCACGTAAGTCTTGATTCTCATCACTATCAATACGATTGGAGAAACCATTGGAACTCGTGGCTCACTGTCGATCGGTGGTATGTCTGTGCTGTCGATCAATGTGGATAAAGATCTGTCGGTCGACAAACTGTCACGAGTGTCGATTGATGCTAGTCGCTTCTCCTTTTGGATTGAACGTTCGATTGCTACTTGGTCAGAGAAAAGTATTTTTGGCTTTTGTTACTTCTGTTACCGCTGGGTATGCACCTATAAACAAGAGACACAAATTATCAGTACTGTAAAAATAAAACGAAACCTACACTAAACCTAAAAAAAATACTTACGCAAACTAAGCTCTCAGGCAATGGCGTCAAATTTTACAAGGTTGCATTTCAAGGTTTTATAAATCCTAATTCATTCTATTAAATTACCCTATGAAACTCAACTTAAAAACTACTCTTGCCAAGAGAGATCAAACGAAGTACTTAGGGATCAAATTCACAGAGAGGAAAGGCACACAATAGATTTATGAGATTCTAATGGTTAAGGTATGTGAAATACTTATATAGGAATTCAGGTTTAAGTAAAAAAGAAATTGGTTGAATTTAAGTTAGTGAAAATAAGAAAAAATAGCTAAATCTAGGGTTTATACACATGGATTATTATAGATAGGATGCAAGTAAATCTAATTCACGAGGAATCAATCACCTACAAATATGATGTCAACCGATGGTGAAGCACCAATATCGATTGACGGTTATGACGAATTGATAATCCACTAGAATTGGTCCACCAGCTATTGGATGCATATAACAACCCTAGCTCAGTGAGAATATGATTCAGGCAGAGAACCTAATGTCATTATTGTCTATGTCCTAAGTTCAGAATTTAGTTAGCTACTCTAAATCACATGCATTAAGAATTATTCTAATCAATGGATATTAGTTCTTCTAGCAATCCTAGTTTTGGGCTAATCCATCAATACCACATAGAAACCTATTTAAAAAGATGAACAACTCAGCCATTATCAAGCAATCAATAGCAAAGGTCTGAATGGAGTGCATAAATAATAAACTGGGGTTTTAATACAAAGCTATGGAAGAAATTTTGATCTTCTCCCCAAAACAATAATAAGAAACTATGGAAAACAAAAGTGTGGTTCTCTGCCTAAAAATGGCAGAAACTCTTATAAACTAGGTAAAAACTCGTATGGGTAATCTTGTAAGTATTGTAGACTTGGGGCTTTGTGTCGGTTCTGAACAAATTTTTGTTTGTGCGCGGCGACCATCGATCAACGCCAATATGTCTACGTAGATCGATGTCGATCTCTTATGTCGACTCTGACTTAGCGAATTCTTGTCAGCTACTGGTTTATTCATCCAAAAATGCACCATGTACTCCAGAAAATTCACCGTGGTAAATACTCTAAAACATAGTCTAGACACACATAATAGACTCCAAATGGGGCCCATATCACGGTATAAAGCTGGTAAGTAATATGGTATATCAAGCACTGATGTATCAAGTTGTTCTCCAGCCCCCGATGTAGAAGAAGAGATCACCATGGAAGATTTCTTGGAAGTAGAAGAATTTTTGGAATTAGAAGATGGAGAACTGCTTGGGGATTTGGATTCTGATAGGGAATTCACAATGGACGACTATTAGGGTTGGAGGAATGGCTTTACGCGGAGCAGAAACTTGACGACGAACGGGACACTATGACAAAAGATCTGGAAGCTTCGCCAAAGGCTAGCATCGATCGACACCGACCTCATGAGATCGATCAAAAGCCACCGGAGAACATCGATCGATACCCTCCTGATGATATCGATCGACACACATCGTTGGACGAGCTGCATGTATACACAGTTGAGAATGAACCACTTGATGTCCATGAACATCAGAGACAACCTATCTGCGCAAAAGAAGCTGCTAGGTTTCATAAAACAATGAAGATGACACATGACCCTGTGAAGTTTGTGGTTCCTTGTGATGTCTTTGAAGTTGAATTTCTTATCCCATCTGATATAGGTATGCATCTAGTTTCCTACAATGAGGTATTCGATCACTAGTAAAAAAAACACATATAGCAACGGTCAAAAATCCTAGCTATGAATGCTTTTTCGTAGCTATATGGAGGGTTTGCCACAAAATGCTACGTTTTTCAGATCATCTGTATACGATCGTAGCATATTTCAGTTCGTAGCAAAAAACGTTTCAAATGCTACGATTTTTCTACGAAGTATTACGTGGCAAGTTGCTACGTTTTTGATACGGTATCTTCGTAACAATGTTGCTACGGTATTGACACCAACATTTTCGTAGTAATGTTGCTACGGTTTTAGGACGAATTATTTGGTGTCCTTTGTTTTGTGTTGCTACGATTTGGTTTGTGTTTTCGTGAGTATGTATTTTGACGATTTTTTTTTTAAAAAAAGCTAATAAGAATTTTTTTTTTTTGAAACAGGCACCAAATTTATATTACATTGAGTTTCTTAAAGCTCAAACCTCAAAAGGTTCAAAAGATTCATACAAACATTCAGAAGGTTCAAAACATTAAAACATAATACATAATTGTTTTTGGGAAAGCAACAGCCACATCTAAAACCTACAAACCGAGTTCTGCATTACACCGCCTATTTAATTCAGAAAGGTTATTGGTGATGACATGTTGAAGTTGTGAATCACCTTGAGATTGAGATGGAGCTTGACCTTGAGGTGCTTGAGACTGAGTTGGTTGTGCAGTAGAGGCGGAAGGATTGGAAGCTTGAGGCTGTAGAAGTTGCAGTATGGTGTTGAGAGTTGATTGAGTTTGAGTCATCTTTTCTTGGAAGTCTGTCTTGAACTCAAGAACATCAGACTTGATTTCCTGAGCGAGGGTCTCCACATCACAAACCCGCATCTCCATGCCCAAGCTTCGCTTGAGACTAGCAGGGACCGACTCAGAAGGCTCTATGTTCTTGTATTGAACATTGCCAAGTCCATAAATGGTGCCCTTGCGTGCCTGTCCACGCTGAAAAGGACAAAAAAACAAGATAACATTATCACAGAGAGCATTTTCACAAAAACATTAGCACAGAGAACATTAGCACAAAAACAAGATAACATTAGCACATATAACATTAGCACAAAAACAAGATAACATTAGCACAAAAACAAGATAACATTAGCACAGATTTTAAAAAAAAATGCAGTATGATCTTGTTACAAGTTCAATACAAGAGTAATAAGAAACAAATATAATGAGCATGAGAGATTATTACCTTGATGTATTCTTGGTTTAGGAGAAGGCGCTTAGAATTTGTTGTGGCAGCAGTTGAGCAAGTTTGGCCTTCTCCAGTTGGAGATCCATCTTGCATCATCTCTTCGACTGCTTGCTCAACCTCCAGAACTAGTGCTTCAGCTTGTTCGTCCATTAAGGTCCCATCTTTGTGGGTTTGAGTCTTCCTCACAAGGTCGGTATATGAAGGTGGTCCGTCCAAACCTTCATCAATTACCTACAACAAAAGGAACAACAGGAAGTTAGACATTTAGCAGTTAAATAAAGGGGAGAATGGAAGTAAAAAAATAGAAAGCTGACCATATGATATTCAATATTTGCAAAGGTGCGAGGTCTTCCACCATGGACGAACATCTTCTTCCCTGGAGGAGCAGAAGTGCGAGAAGTAGCTGCTGATTCGCTCTTGGCTTGGGCCTCAGGTGTTGACCAATTCGTAAGGATTGTTTCCCAGTCTATGTCACTGATGTATTTGGGTTGCTTCTTATCTCTCCTTTTCTGGCTTATGCGTCCGCAGATGGTCCTTTGAGTCTGAACCTTCCACTTCAAGTAGGTTTCATCATGAAATCTGTCTTCCCAGTAGTATTGTTGCTACAAAAGAAGAGAAGAGATTAGAAGCAAAGTATATAATTAAGAATGGGAATGGAAATGGTTCAGGATTACTTACTATGAATGAGTGCCATCAACTATCTCTCTTCTCCTCTGGAACCATTGTCCAGTTTTTCCACGGCCCCCAGAAGTTTCCCTGCCACGTTGCTCTCATAAAAGCATGGACTTCAGGATCAACTCATATCCTGCAAAGACAATATTATAAGCATCAAACAAACATCAAATAAGACTACACCATGTAAGAACATCCATAACTACACGGTTTGAGTTAGTGACCTAAGCAATTCATTAGACCTAACACTGAACTAAGGTAACCAAACAAGGTAACAAATTTAGAATAGACCTAACACTTAGCTAAAGTCATTAACTAAAATAGTTAAATAAATGATATCACTTACCACAATGCTCCATTGAGCTTATCAGGATGGAGGTGAGGCTGGTTAATTCTAGATGGAGCACGTAGCAAAGCATCTTCTGTTCTCCTCACATAAGTTGGAGGAGCCACAGATGCTGAACTTGAAGAGGCGTTTGTTCCAGGAGGTCTTCTTGGTTGAGCAGGAGGCATTGAAGCGGCTCTCATTTGGGGTCTAGAGTGTATGACATCTGTACACAGAGAAACATAAGAAGATGTTAAGATTGAAACCCAAAATCGAAACTGAAAGCAAGACCTATTCCCAAATCGAAAACAAACCTTGTCCCAAAACGAAACCATAAAAATAACTTGAAAGCCAAATTGAAACGCAATCCGAAAAGCTATTGAAAAGACCTTGGAATAAATAGAAACAAAAATTCGAAATCAAAAGAAAACCTGGAACACAAAAACAAAACTTTGCCCTAAACCCTAGAACATGCGAACACAAGCTCCAAAACTTTGCCCTAAACCCTAAACGATATCTAATCCCTAACCGTTACTTGAAACACAAAAGAATCGAGAGAAACAGAGAGATGGAGAGAAATCAAAACCATACCTGGAAGATTAGAGCTGGGAGAGCGAGGACGACGACGGTCGTTGGGTGCGTTGACGGTGGAAGGAGCCATGGAAGAGAGAGCTAGAAGAGAGATCGAGAGATTAGGAAGAGAGATCGAGAGACTGAGATTTACTCTTGTATTGTAGAGAGTTGTCTGTGAGAGACGAGAGAGAGAGACGAGATAGCTTTATTGAGAAAGGGTAAAAAATGCTAAGTGTGGGAAATAGTTTTTGGACTTTAATTTTTGGCTCCAAAATCTTGGAGGCAAATATATTTCAGGCTCCAAAATTTTGGAGGGAGTACTTAAATTATAGGTATTTTGTATAATTTAGGGGTTAGACAGGGTTTAGATCTCGTTTAGGGTTTAGAATTATTTATATATCTTTTTAAAAAATCATTAAATACTCTTATATTATAAATTCATATATTACAAATTTACTATATAAAAACTTATATTATACATTTCATTTATCTTACAAACACCAAAAACTTATATTATACATGCATATATTTTTAAAACACTAAGAACTTGAATCAGATTTTGAATCAGAATCAGTACATGACGGTTCTAACTCATCTTCAGAAATATATTCGTCATTGGGAGGAACAACCGGTGTCGAATCATAATCTGAATCATCTTCTACGACATAAGATTCAATGCGTAACATTCCACTATGTGCAACAACTTGTTTGTGTGTATCATCTTGTAATGCAGCAAGCGTAATTTCAGAAGTTTCTCGAACCCCTCTAGGCAAAACTTTAGTACATGCCCACCAATCGTTTGCTGATGTGCGACGAACCCGCGGATAAGGAATGAAACAAACTTGATCACAATTACCAGATAAGATAAATGGATCATATTTCTCGTACTGCCAGCGCGGAGACACATCAACGATTCCAGATTTATGTTTTTGAATCCCCCGACCTAACATTGTATCAAACCACTTACATTTAAAAACCATGACCTTAAGCTTAGCAGAACCAGAATACTCAACCATCATTATCTCCTCGATCAACCCGTAATAGTCAGTGTCCATCGTTACCCGGACTTGGACTCCGTAGTGTTGGGTTCTCTTATTTTGGCCATGACTATGTGTGTGGAAACAGTATCCCCGTGAGAAGTAAATCGGCCAAACTTTATAATTGTGTTTCGGGCCTTTTACAAAATCCATCATCCACAACGGAAACTTATAGAATTTACTCGCTTCTTCAACCTGTTAATTGAAATTATGAGTATAAATGATTAACTCATATTGATAGTCAAATTATATAAAAACTTACATAGTTTTTCACCCATTCCGTAAAATGGTTATCTTTTCATATTTGTAGATCATTATCACATATATTTGGGTTGTTATCCTTCATAAAATCCTCGAACCTCCTGTTCCGTAGTTTTTATAAAATGTTTATAACTTCCAACTGGAAATATTAGAAATATAAAATATAAATAATTAGTTGAAATACCTTTCATAGGGCTCAAATGCAGGACAATTGAGCATCAAAAACGTATGCAACACAGTGCAATCATCATCTGTTAGATACTTCTCTTCTACTCTTCCACTAACTCGACCTTCATGGTAAAACATATTTGACACATCTGGTTCATCATATGTAAATCGAATATCTCCAGGTTTCAAAACTTGAGCGGGCACTTCTGGATTCCCAAAGAAGTGTGCAGAAGCTGTAGAAATCTCCTCGTTATGAGATTGGGTAATAATGGAACCTGCAATATGTGCCTTATTTTTTACTTTTTTCATCAAATGGCACATGTATCGTTCGAAAGGATACATCCATCTATATTGCACTGGACCACCTAGAGCAGCTTCGTCTGGTAAATGCACAACGAGATGTTCCATAACATCAAAAAATGAAGGTGGAAAAATCTTTTCCAAATTGCAAAGCTTCACTGCAATGTTTTCTTTTAAAACGGCAACCTCTTCATTCTTTAGTATTTTCGCAGAGATATCCCGAAAAAAGAGTGCTATCTCTACACAACACATTTTCGAGTTAGTGGATAGTAACAATTATACAAATAATTTAAAATAATTTACCTGAAATCGCGATGTGGACATTTTTAGGAAGCAATTCCCTAAACGCAAATGGAAGAAGTCGTTGCATGATAACGTGACAATCATGACTTTTTAGACCTGAAAGCTTTGAATTCGTCTCATCTATACATCTACTAAACTTTGAAGCGTACCCATATGGAAATTTTATATCATCCTTCAACCATCGCAAGAATTCTTTTTTTTCTTCTTTGGACAACCGAAATATCGGGACCGGCATCGTTCCATCGTCTTTGATATGTAAATCTTGCCTTCTGCAGAAATCAGGTAGATCCATCCTCGACTTTGCATTATCTTTTGTCTTCCCAGGAACATTGAGCACTGTGTTGATAAGATTATCAAAGAAATTTTTCTCAACGTGCATGAAGTCCACATTGTGGCGACGAAGAAGGTTTTCCCAATACGGCAATTCCCAAAAGATACTCTTCTTCACCCAATTGTGATCTTTTCCAAAGCCGTGTATGTGGCTTGCAGGTTTCTCGTGTCTATTTCCGCCACATTTAACAGTTTCCTTCAATCCGTTAATGTTGTTGATTCTTTCGCGAAGAATTTCTTCTCCTGTCAACCAAGGTGGAGGATCATCAGTTGTTTTCTTCCCCCTTCGGAATGCTTGGACATTTCTCCGGTAAGGATGCTCTTTAGGAAGAAACATTCGATGACAGTCAAACCAGCTATGCTTCCTTCCTTGTTGCAACCAAAATGACTTTGTATCATCTAAACAATATGGACAAGCTAAACGACCATGAGTACTCCAACCTGACATCATTCCATAAGCGGGAAAGTCGTTAATTTTCCACATTAACGCAGCACGCATATTGAATATTTCCTTCCTCGAGACATTGTATTTTTCTGCCCCGTGACTCCAAAATTTTTGTAGTTCTTCAATTAACAGCTGCAGATAGATATCAATGCTCTTCTTTGGATGTCTTGGACCGGGCACTAAGACCGATAAAAAGAAATATTCTCTTTTCATACACATACCAGGAGGTAAGTTATACGGAGTTTCGATTACGGGCCACACCGAGTGTGGTTCACCACTCACACCAACTGGATTAAATCCATCAGTTGCTAATCCTAGATATATATTCTGTCTTTCGGCAGCGAAATCAGGATATACCTTGTTAAAATGCTTCCAAGCTCCTCCATCAGAAGGGTGATGCATTTCTCCTTCGGGGGACTCATGTTCTGCGTGCCATCGCATTTGTGATGCAGTCGCCTCAAGTTGGTACAGCCGCTTTAACCTCTCTATAATAGGCATGTAAAACATTCTTTGTTTTGGCCGCTTTTTCCCCTTTTCTCGGTTTGGGTGATATCTATCTTTCCCACAAAACCGACACACCAACAAGTGTCGATCTTCCTTCCAAAATAACATGCAGTTATCCTCGCAAATATCAATCTTAACAACAGGGAGACCAAGCGCCTTTGTCAACTTCTTCGTC